CCCCAAAACCCCAAAACCCCAAAACCCCAAAACCCCTTTTTCTGAAAAATAATTTGAATAATTGTAAAATCTTATTCGCCTTGTAACTTAGCTCCTCCGTACATTTCTTTGATCTGGCTCAAGAATTTCTTCTTAGCCACACCTCTGACCAGCTTAAATGTTGGGGTTAATGTTCCGTCATCAATGTTGAATTCTTCATTAGTAACGTGGAGCCTCTTAGGAATTTCTAACCCATTCAGCTTGTGCTCCTCTCTACATTCTTTGAACCAGTCATTGATTTCTTGTAGGTATTCCGAAGAGGAGCTATAGCCAGGAGAGTAGTTCTTATCAACGTACTCATTATCTGGCACGATTATGGCAACTAAGAATGACTGAAGAGAGTCACCGTAGACAAAAATTTGAGCAATCAATGGAGTTTTCACAAAGATTAGCTCTAACTTTTCAGCAGCAATGTATTCCCCTTGGGATAGTTTAAAAATATTTTTCTTTCTATCGATAATTCTGAGAGCCCCATCTGGCTGAATTTCACCAATATCTCCAGTGTGGACCCATCCATCCTTATCAATAGTCTCTTCAGTCTTAGCTGGCTCTTTGAAATATCCGTGGAATGCTCCACCGCCTTTGAAGCAGATTTCTCCTCTAGGGTAGTTCTCACCATTTCTCATATCAGTGGAGAGATAGTCCATTTCAGGAACGTCCACTAGCTTCATCCAAAAAGAGGGGAAAACGCCTCCAACATGGCCTGATTTCTCATCTCCAGGCTGAGTGATACAGTTCGCAGCAGTCAGCTCTGTCTGGCCATAACCTTCTAGAATATCTCAGCAAAATCAGATTTTTAAAAATTCTAAAATTTCTTTTGAAATAGGGGCTGACCCAGTGACGCAAACTCTAACTCTTCCGCCAAGCCTTGCCTTCATTTTCTTGAAAATTAGGGCATCATACATACAATGTGTGACTGCCCCGTTTCTTCTGTAATTGGCTAACTTCTTGTCAATCCCCCATTTGAGGAGTTTAGCCTTGCAGCCTTTAGCTTCCTTTATAACTCCCTGGATGCGGTCATATAGTTTGGTGTAGAGTCTAGGAACAGAAATGAAAACAGTAGGTCTTAGGGCACCTAAGTCCTCTACTATTTTAAGAACATCTCCTTGGTAAAATCCAATCCTGGCTCCCACAGTTGAAAGACCGAAGAAAATTGCTCTTTCGAAGATATGAGCAAGTGGGAGGTAGGACAAGTGAGAATCATTAGAGGATATCTTAATTGGGCTTAAGTCGATGGCCCCAACAAGAGATGTAATACATCCATGGTGAAGCTTTACTCCCTTTGGATTCCCAGTTGTACCACTTGTATAGCAAATAGTAAAAAGATCCTGGTTATGAGGATCATCAAGTTCAGTCTTTGAGTGCTTTCCTTCTTCAATAAGAGCGTCAATTGTGTAGTAATTCATCCCTGCTCTCTCAATAGTTGCGACGTCATCATGTTCAATCTCTCCGATGATTACGATGTTCTGAAGATGATCAACTCCTTTGACAGTTTTAATTTTGATCAAGGCATCCACATGGTCTGCTGTACAAACAACTGTCTTCAATTCAGTTTGCTGAATGATATACTCTGAAGAGTCTGCTCCCAGGGTATCGTATAACGTAACTGTAGCCATATTTGAAAGACAGCATGCTAGGTCAGTAATCGCCCATCCCTCATTATTATTTTGAGTAGATACCAATAAGATTATACTTCCGCCCTTCTTCAGATGCGGTGTTGAAAAGTTCCTTGTCATAGATAGATCTTGCAAGCCAGATTGCTTTATTGATACACTCCTCGTAAGTTTCCCATTTGTATTTCCCATACTCGACTTCACCTTTTTCGTCGAATGATTTTTCCCTTGATCCAAGATAGGGTTCATCAGCGTACTCCTTGTAAGCATGCATAAGGATTTTCTTAATAGTATCGTGGCCTGTCTCTGGGTATAAAACAGGGTCTTGGTCTTCCTCCAGCAACCCGCTCTTGTACCTAACTGTCTCTCCTGTCCTGGGCAGTTGCCCTGGATCTGGAACAGAGTACTTGTATTTAGTTGGCATTTCTTTATCCAAATTATTTATTTCAAAATGGAGCTACTAATATGGGGTTTTGGGGTTTTGGGGTTTTGGGGTTTTGGGGTTTTGGGG